TTGTCTTTGAACCGTGTTCCAACCCAGTGCTTGTATCCATTCTGACTTCTGTTGGCCCCATCGAACAGATTAAACCTGCTGCTTGATAGGGTTTCCGATGCTACTTAATCTTTCCAGGAGCAGTCAGCCTCCTCTTTCTCTCTTGGGATCCTTGGTGGATTTATACAACTGGCCTTGCAGTTAGTAGCGCAGCGCTTAACCCCCTGAGCCACCAGGGTTCCTTTTGTTCAAACAGAGCCCATCTCTAGGATGAGACTGCTCAGAGCTTATTTCTGTAGCAGAACCCTCATTCACCCAATAGCGTGGGGCAGTGCTGATCATGTCTTTTTTCCCTTCTAAAATCTTTTTCTTGGTTTCAGGGTACGTGTGTGTATTCACTTCTATTCTCGATAACGCCTCAGGTTCCTCCTCTGGCTTCTCCTGAACGACATGGTCTCTGAATGGCAGTCTTCAAATCTCCATGCTGCTCTGTCTATAACAAGGCTTTACCCTTGCCAGTTCCAGTCACACCTTTTAAACGCCTCACCATCTTCCAATTTTACCTCTCCAGCCAGATCCCTGTGCTAAAACCCCGACTCATGTGTCCACCTGGCTCCATGGCATCTCTGCTGGGGCCTCTCAGAGGTACCTCCGCCTTAAAACATGCAAGGCTGACCTCCAGAACTTCCCCGATGGTGTCCGTGGTGCTGTGAAGTGCAGCCCTGAGCTTCCTGGGGCTCAGGTGAACATCCTGGTAAGCTTTTGTACTATGCAAGATGTTAGATTATCTACTAATATTTTGAATTATTACATAAATCAATCAGTGGGTGAAGGAAGACAAGGCTTCTGTAATTCCTTGGAGATGCGTGTGTGTGTGTGTGTGGGAAAGCTCTGTCTCTCTAGGGCCTATTTGACTTCATCTTCTGGGCTTCGTACTCCATCTGCTGCAAGTCACTGAGGCCTGGTTGCCTTTCCTGAGGGAGGGACCCTACTCCCCCATGGCTTTCACAGAGCTGGCCCCTCACATACACCTGACAAACACCCTTGGTTTCTTACCTCTTTGTTCTCTGGGGACCCTTCCCCAAATCCCATCTAACATTCTGGTCACACCCTCACCTGGCCCATATGTCTGTTCTGCACGCATCTCTCTGCTCTTGCCCCCTTTTGCTGTCTTGATTGAGGACACAGCAGGCCCCCGGGAGAGTGGGGGCTCCTCTCTTCTGAGCCACCTCAGGCCTGCTTCCACCCCGGAGGCCTTTGCAGCCACTTCCCTAGTGTCTCCATCCAAACAACCCTGGGGGTAGAGCCCAGCTCCATAATGTTGAACTGCCCCAGGTGAGTTTGGTCTGCAAGCCAGCTCAGGAGAGAGAGAGAGAGAGACAGACAGACAGACAGACAGACAGACACTAACCTCTTTCCAAGAGGAGCTGAGGGGCCTTTGCTGTGTATGGGCTAAGGTGTCAGGCCTGGTGTGGGGCCTGAAGGAGAGGTCAACCCGGCCCAGATGTCTTGCTGCAGTGGGCGTTGAGGCTTCACTAGAAGGGGAGGGCAAGAAACTCACCTGTTGGTGTCCCATGTAGGAGGTCATTGTCCCCGAGTTCCTCCTGGGCAGTGGGTAGCCAGGACCGCCTTTCCTTGTTGTGTGTGCCTACAGTGTGGGTGGCTGTCGTACAAGCAGTTGGGCATGCTGATTGGAGCATTAACAGCATATATTCACCCCTCAGGATCGACTTCTTCAGACAGACCTTGCTCGAGGAAGGAAGAAGCATCTGGAATGGCTCTGTCCCAGGTACCTGCCTGCCCTCGGTGGTGGCTCTGCACTCTCTTTCTGGAAACGCTACCTCCTCTCCTCTGACCCTGACCTGTCCTGCTTGACAGATGCATGGGCTACCACTGCTCCAGAGCCTTACCTCGTCTCCTCTCACCTCGGCACAGAGTCATTGTCAGCCTGTCTCAGGGACATGGGACTTAATACCAGGCTCCATTTGGGATTTAGGAGTGTCCTGGGAAAGGCTTCACATCAGGCCTGTGTGGGAGGCCAGGAATGGTCCCCACGGGGGCAGTGAGGGTCGGCAGCAGGGAAGGAGGGTATACGGGCCACATCTGGATACCCTTTCACAGCGTTTTCCTAAGTGGGTATTACTGCCATCCCTCGAACACCCCGCCCACCACTGGATTGATCAGGGTGGGGGTGGGAGATGCATGAGGAGGCTGCAGAAGCAGATCCCTACATACTTCATTATGGATTATGGGCTATTTTTAATTGCTGAGGTGGAGGGCGGGGGTATGGAGCGTGGTATCTGTAAAGGGGCGGTAGGCCAAGTAAATTTGGAGACCTATGCCTTATCTCTGTGGACCACCTTGAAAAAAAGTACATATTTACATGTCCCACGAATATACACGAGCCTCTAGAAAATTCAGGATAAGGAGACTAATCCGGTGACACCTGCTCTGACCGATTTTGTAACCCTTCGAAGCTAATGAGTGATCAATATCTGACTGCCTGGTTCCTGTAAAAAAGGGCTGGCGAGGCATCTGGCCTTTAGCTTCATGAGCGGGAAGAGCCACCATCAGTGGCCCAGGGCTGCCAGCAGTCTGAGCTCAGGGCACTGGCTCTTGGTGAGGACATTCTTCCTCGGTTGTCTCTGTCAGCTGTGGGGCAATCTTCATGGTCTTGGCACCTTGTGCTCGCTTATTCAGTCTTTTTTCTTACTCTCCATTTGATTGAAGCCAGACCCTAAAATGACACTCATTGTCATAACAAAGAAAACCCATCCCCAAGTGGAATGACCCAGGAATAGGGGTTAGGTTTTGCAAAGCATTTTGTTGGGGGGGACGACAATCCGATTCATTATTGTTCCTTATTCACCTTTTTGCAATCTACGCTCGCTTTGCCATGGAGTTGATTTCACAGCGTGGCACTTCTGAGGAACTGACTGTCAGCTGTGCAGAACTCAATATCTAGCTCCCTTCTCTATTGGTGACCCTTCTAGTCGTTGTAGCCCAGCATCTGGATATTTCTTTTATTCCCAATGGAAATGAAATCAGCATTGATTGAGTGGATTTCATTTTTTCCTATGGAGTACTATAGTAAAACAAAGAGGCACATGATTTGTTCTTAATTCTCTTAGGTAGCCCTGTCAACACCGACATCAGCCAAGTTTATTCCCACACCTCCTCTTCCCATGTTGTGTGAAAAGAACTCTCCTGATGGTGTGGGTGTGATATGTTTTCATGACAGGGACTGGTGACCTTCAGGGATGTGGCCATCGAGTTCTCTCAGGAGGAGTGGGACTGCCTGGACCCTGCTCAGAGGACTCTGTACAAGGACGTGATGCTGGAGAACTACAGCAACCTGGTCTCCCTGGGTGAGCATCACTGCCTTCTAGTAGTTGAGACCTTTCCTGGCAGCCTCCTGGAGGCTCCTCCCCTCCTTGCTGCAGATTCAGATCCTTGTCCTTCAGGCAGAGATGAAAAGCTTATCATGGCACCTGCACTTGACCCCACCCACCTTTTCCTTCAGATGATCTTTCTCCTGCTTCAGCCTAGCTCGAAGGTGCTTGGAGAATTTGAGTCAAGAGAAAAAACCTAATGCATACTTTAAAATAACCCGTTTTCTCATTTTTACCCTGGATTTGATTTAGTGAGAGCTGGCTGTTTGCATGTATTTACTCCTTATTGATAATCTCGTTAGTGGACATTTCCCATTTATGATAACATTGAAAAAAACAAAACAAAACTCACCCCAAACTGGAGAACTGGAGGCAGTACCTTTGATGGTCTGGGTCTCCTGTAGCCTCGCTGCCTGTCAGCCATTCTGCATGATAGACCACAGACCATGGCAGTGACCAGGCTGTGTGAGGGATGGTGGTCAACCAGCTGCAGGATGCCTTTTCCTGTTTCTCTGCAATGTCTTAGCTCAGCTATGAAATGAAGGATTCAGCGTGACAGTGTGACCAGGTGAGGGAGGCCAGGCAAGGGCTTGAAGGTGTCGGGAAGGTTGGTGGGAGGAGATGGGAAGGTAGGAAAAGGGACAGGACTGTCCGGTGCTCAGGCTGGGATGACAGAGATGAGCAGGTCTCCACCCAGGGCAGATGGTGGACAGGAGGCAGTGGGTGACAGGCAACTTCTGACTACCTCAAGCCCCAGCCCATGCAGGCTCCACCGTGATGGGGACAGGGGTCCACCAGGCTGAGTGCAATCCTAGAGGTTCAAGGGTAACTGTGGGCAGTGGCCAACCTTGGAGGTCACTGATGCCGAAAATCACTTACCGCTGACTGAGCATAGTGACCTGGTCTTTGGAACCTAACCAAAGGTTGATAAGTGAGGAGTGGTATGTTTAAAATATTCCCTAAGCATTCTGTACGAAGCAGTCAGTAGATGAAGATGTGAAATATTTTTCTAGACCCATCTGTAACATTTCTTTTCAGTTGAACAGATGGCTCAGATGTTATTCAGCAAAAGCTAAAGCACACCGTGTGTTTGTTTTTTTTAACAGGAATCTCTGTATCTGAGTTGAATATTATCTCCATTCTGGAGCCTGGGACAGATACGTGGACTGTAGAGTCGAGGAAGAAAAGAGCAAAATACCCAGGTAAGTAGGACTCTGTCAAATTGTGACTAAGATAAGAGCTTGTAAAAAGACCTATCCTTTTATAAGGTTTTTTATTTTGAAAAATAAAGACTTTCTCTGTGAAAATTTACATTGCTGATTAGCTCCCTACTGAATTTTGCACAGCAAATTAGGTTCCTATTAAACAGTTTATATACCTGTCATTTGTTGGCGTTGGTTGCATTTTCCACATTGTGTCATCTTCTCCATCTTTATGGTCTGCTTGTCTCATTAATCCCAGTTTGTGATCTTCTTTGACCTTCTGTGTGCTTTCCAGAGCAAATCTTGACCTTTTATTTAATATATATTTTTAAAGGAATATGAGACTCATGGATTATATTATTTATTTTATAAGCCAGTCTGTTCTTTCGAAAGTCTCAATATTTCCTTTAGTCTCTTCTGGTCCCATAAGTCAGTTTTTTTGTTTAATAAAAATTACAGTTTTGCTCTGCAATTTCGTTCCATTCTGTTTTTGACCATCAATTGTGTCTCTAGCTGGAACGGTTGGTCGTGGTAACTGGACACGTCTGGGTCTTCTGGTTTCTGAGTAGACGAGGCCATGGTTTGTGTAGGTTCTTAGTCCTGTAAGACGATACTCTTCTTGAGTCTTTGCCTTCCTTCTTCTTTGTTCCAGGTGTGTAGAGACCAATTGTTTTATCTCAGATAGCCTAAGTTGTATTGTTTTGGGTTAATCATTTTATTGGGCTAAATTGTATGTTTTAACTCTTGAAAACATATCTTGTTTTAATGTTGGTTTGTTTTCTGTTATAATGTTAATGACAGTACTACTAAGAATGAGCGACAGGTGGTGTGTATACATAGGTCTGTGCATGACCTGAATGACTTTTCTGTTTCAAATTGTTTACCTTCGACTTAATGTTTCATGTTTCTTGTTGGGATTCCCTTGGTTAGTGTACCTTTAATGTTACATGAAAGGAAGCCTCTGTAAGAAAGAGAGGATGCGGTTAAGTACTGTTTGAGGAATTCTCTTCAATGAGAGCAGTCTATGAGAGAATGAAAGTTCATTTCTTGTGTACTCCCAAAGAGACATTTCTTCTCCATACCCCCATTTATCACTCACCTTTTCACCTAGCACAGACAAAGGTGCAAAGTCTAGAGTATAACTTGTATTTTCTAGTCCTTATAACCTTTTTGGTGTTTTGATTTTGAGGAAAAATCCATTTTTGTCCAACCAATTATAACTTAGAGTAACTGTATAGGACAGAGTAGGCAACTGGTGAAGCTTTAGACAAGCCCAGTGCTACATCCTTTTTCTCTCCAGTGGTTAGCAGATTTGACCTACCCTCCGTGTGAGCAAGCAGCCAAGTGCTTTAATGACTGGGCTCCCAGAGAACCTTTGAGAGCAGCAGTGCCAGGACATCAGATCCACTTCTATGACGGCAACCATGCGAATCAATCGGTCTCACTTCAGTCCCACATTAGTTCGGTTCTAACAACAGACACTAGCCACCTGGAATTTTGTTCTAATCATCCTTCAGAACCTTTATTGAAGCGTCGTTCTTTAGACATGATTTGATTTGATTTTGTCCCCCACGCCAAGCAAACCAAACCAAACTCACTGCCATCGCATCAGTACTGACTTACAGTGAGACCCCCGTGGGTTTCTGAGACTTAATTCTTTACAGAAGTAGAAAACCCAGTCTTTTTCCCATGGAGCTGCTGGTGGTTTCGAACTGCTGACTGTGTGGATCGTAGCCCAACAAATAATCATTACATCACCAGGGGCTCCTTCCCACTCCAAAAAAAACTGACTCGTGCTGACTCATAGCAACTCCTTTGTGGGTTTCCAAGTCGGGAGCACAAAGCCCAGTTGTTCTCCCGGGAGCATCGCAGCCCAAAATGTAGCCACGATACTACCAGGGCGCCCACTCCAAGAGACTGGTAAATATCAAGTGGTGGGTCTTTGTAGCCTGGTCTCCCCAAACCAAAGAGGTACCTCATTAATATAAACTCTCAGGTCTAAAAATACTTCCAAAGACAAATCAATCATGGGGAAATTGCAAGATTTTAAAGGTTATTTTTTCAGGAACTAAGGATAAAGATAAATTTCTTTGGTTCAGTTAATATAAACCACACAGCGGTAATTCAGCCCTTCATACTTTTATCTCCCCCATTTTAGTCAACCAATATTTTCATTGCCCATTCTAATTCTCAGCAAACGATACGTTTTATACCACCCCACAACAGCCCCCCCCATTCTAGTTTTCTGTGTGCACTGTGTTGTCTGCCATGTGCGTGTTATTTTTAGGAGCATGTTATATACAAAAAACAATACTCCAGGGATAAAAGTGTGTTCCTCAGTCTGAATAAATATCACTGGGGATAGGGTGGGGGTGGGAGGGATTTCCAAACGGACTTAGAAGCTTTGGCTTTGGCTTTGTTAAAGTACTGTGAGCACATGCATCTTCCACTGAACAAGTAAAACCCAATCCTGTGTAAATGCTCCTGATGGGACCTATTTGTAGTATTTGTAGGGTACTGTAGTCAGTGTGACTTGTCCTAATGTAGCAGGCCCTTCTCAGGGAGAGTTCGCACTGGAACCGCCTGAAGTGTCTGTTTCTTGTCGGAAAGAACCAGTCTTACTTTCATTTTGTGTTTCAAAGTGCACAAGAGAAATGTCTTTTTTTTTTCCTGTTAAAAATTTTGTAATTTAGAATTGCCATGTATTCATTTGTTAAACGTATTTTAGATGATTTCCCATTTCATTATATAGTGTTGTGCTCTAGCATTTGTTTATGGGAAGTTATGCAGCAAATCTCTACAATGGCATGTTTGTTTCTCATCAAGTGTGAGAAAATCTTATGGCCACCGCCAGTTGGTGTGTACTTTGGTGTCGTTTGGCTATAAGGTGTTTGAATGTAGTAATTGTTTCTTGAGGAATTTAAACATTTGAAGACAATGGTTGATGGGTCTCATAACTCGAGTCAGTGTAAGTATTACTTTTGGTATATACAACATTTATTTTCAAACTGCAGTTAATAAGAAACCTATGTTTCTTTATTTCTTTTAGATGTCTCACCTATGTGTACAATGAAAGTATTATCTGCAAAAGAGACCATTAATAAAGGAGAGTTTCATGAAACAGTGATTCCTGGCATTGAAGATGATGACTTGAGGAAAGTCGGGAAAAACATACGGGAATTTGAGAGGCAGTGGGAAGACACCGAGAGAAAGTACAGAGGAATAGCTATGACCCGTAACAAGAATTTCACTTGTAGGGACGGTCAACATGATCCAACACCTGTAGGAAACAACTATACAAAACGTTTTGAAAGTACGATTGGATTAAAGTCTCAGTTACATCTGGATGAAATAGAGAGTTGTCCAACTGAAGGCAAAATGTGTGATTCCAATCAAGCCGAGCAGTCTCTCTGCACCAGGTCTTCAGTTTTACCACTTCAAACAGCTTCTCCCAGTGTGAAAGCCAATATTCATAATAAATATGGGGAGGTTTTTATGCATCCTTCATTGGTTACACAACACCAAAAAACACACATTAGAGAAAAACCGTATCATTGTAATGAATGTGGGAAGACTTTTAGCCAAAAAGCAACACTTGTTAACCATCAGAGAATTCATACTGGAGATAAACCTTATGAATGTAATGTATGTGGGAAGGTCTTTACACAGAATTCCAACATTGCGTTTCATCTAAGAACCCACACTGCCGAGAAACCGTACAAATGTAGTGAATGCGGTAAGGCTTTTATCCATAACTCAAGCCTTGTGGATCATCAGAGAATTCATACCGGAGAGAAACCTTTCAAATGTAATGAGTGTGGCCAGGCTTTTATCCGACGGTCACAGCTCTGGGACCACGAGAGGCTTCACACTGGGGAGAAACCGTATAAATGTAATGAATGTGGCAAAGCCTTTAACCGTGGCCCAAACCTCACTACACACCAGAGAATCCACACTGGGGAGAAACCTTACAAATGTCACGTATGTGGGAAGGTCTTTAATCAAAATTCACATCTTGTGATTCATCAGAGAATTCATACCGGAGAAAAGCCTTACAAATGTAACGACTGTGGTAAGGCTTTTATTTATAGATCAAGCTTTGTCAAGCATCAGAGGATTCATACTGGTGAGAAACCTTACAGATGTAATGAATGCGGCAAAGCCTTTACCTGTGGCCAGCACCTTACTAGACATCTGAGGGTCCATACTGGAGAGAAACCACACAAATGTAGTGTGTGTGGCAAGGCATTTATCCAAAAATCAAAACTTGTGCGACATCAGAGAGTTCATACCGGAGAGAAACCTTATAAATGCACTGATTGTGGTAAAGATTTTATTCATAGTTCCAGCCTTGTTCAACATCAGAGAATCCATACCGGAGAGAAACCATACAAGTGTCATGAGTGTGGCCAGACATTTTTTACACACTATCAACTTTGGTATCATGAGATAATCCATACTGGAGAGAAACCATACAAATGTAACGAGTGTGGCAAAGCCTTTAACCTTGGCTCGACTCTGAATACACATCAGAGAATCCATACCGGAGAGAAGCCATACAAATGTCACGTGTGTGGCAAAGGCTTTATTCAGAAATCACAGCTTGCAAATCATCTCAGAATCCATACTGGAGAGAAACCCTACAGATGTAATGAATGTGGGCAGACTTTTTTTACAGGCTCTCAACTTTGGTCTCATGAGCGAATCCATACCGGAGAGAAACCTTTCAAATGTAATGCCTGTGGCAAGTCATTTAACCGGAGTTTACAACTCACCAGACACCAGAATATACACCTTGGGCAAAAAGCCCACATGTAATGTCTGCCAAGACATTTTTCTCTCCCAGAGATCAAAACTTGAGAATGTCAGAGAATCCACAGCAGGTTAACTCTACTTTTATACTGAGTGTATCAGATCATACATCCTGGAGAGAAACTTAATGAAAATAAGGTGTGGCAGGACTTTTATCCAAAGTTCTGGCAGTGTGAATTCATGCTGTAGAGAAACCTTACAAATACAGTGACTGTCCGAAGGCATTTTATTTTATTATTCACCCTTTGGAGGTTATGAGGAAATTCATATTAGAGTGAAGCTTTATAAAGGGCGTGTGCCAAGGCCTTTAAATAGTGAATTGACTTCAGACATTCAATTCTTGAAGGATACAAACCTTACACATGATCAATGTTGTGAGTCATTTAACCAGTTCTCACGATGGACTATCAGTCCGTAAGAGGTTAGCTTAGTTTCTAAGGCTCACAGATTAATCAACATCAGATGTTATATTTTACAGAATAATTGCATTTCTAAATCTATGAAAACTCAAATATATCTCAAAGAAGGAAACACATGGTAGGAACTCAATCGTGGTTTTTGGAAAGGATGACATTTCTGTGAGTTTCAACTTGGGGTTTGAAATCTGATATACCTGCACACTGACTTTTCATGTGTCACCATGATTCTCTGTGAGAACAGATCAGTGAGATGAAATATTTAAATGTGCTTTTGGTTGTCACTATATGAGTGACCAAACAGTTACAAAACAATCTCCACAAAAAAAAGGTTAAAAAAAAACAATCCCCACATGTATAGTTCAATGGTATTAATTACTCATTGGATGGAGTTCACTTACTTTTATATTCCCTGGGGAAAACAAGGACACTGTATTTTAAGATAAACTATGGAGAAAAGTCCTGTGAATATAGGACTGGGTGGAAAACACAGGCTTTGATATGCCATCGGTATTAAGGTATTCAAGAACACGTTTAGTAGTTCCTGTGGATCACAGGGAAGGGGCTCTCTGCCGGCAGATTAGGACATGCAGAAACAGATTTGGTGAGAGCGGAAGGGTGGTTATTAAGAACATAATGAAGGGAATGATGGTGAGCTCTCTTGAATGACAATAGATGTCATAGACAATAGTAAAGAAATGTGTTTTCTCAGAAAGTGAAGAGAAACTTTAATCAGAAGAATTTAATCAAAAGGCCAGAATTATGCCCAGGATTACCATTTAACATCTGGGAATGCGTTTTGGTAATGTTTTATTTAGAATGTGTCGTTAAGAGTCATTTCTAATAAAATGTAATATTTTTCATAACCTCAAATGGAATATATTTCTTGAATCAGTATACATCTCAGAATGTCATCACAACACACTAATGCACAATTAGGCTCTCAAGGTTGAATGGCATAGATAGCAGTTACTTTCTATGGTAAAATACAGTATACAATTCTGGGAATATATACCAGGATTCTGTATCATTGCTTGTGGCTGCATGAGTTTGAAGAGGGACTTAAGGACTAGTATTAGATGAAAGGACTTGGCACGGACTGGGCTTGGATGTTCTCTTGATGTAGGATTGCTTTTTGATTTTAAAGCTTTCTCTTAAACATATATGAGTGTCACTAGATTTGTTTCTCTAGTCCAACTGTCCTAACACACTACACGTGCAGGCTATAGCTCCCCACCACTTCCCTAGGTCTTGGTGAGCAAGGGGAATGGATGCAGCCATAGAGAAATATGGGCCCAATGATGAGTAATTGAGGAGCCTTGGTGGCACAGTGGTTAAAGGCTATGCTGTTAATTGATGGCCCAGAGGTCAAGCCTACCAACTTTCTGTGGTAGATGTGGTTATCAACCTCCCTATGCACTAAAGCCTTTGAAACTCTATGGGGGGCAGTTCTACTCGTCCTACAGGGATGGCAAGGTAGGAATTGACTTGATGGTAATAGGTTTGATTTTATTTATTTAAAGATGGTGGCTAAGCACCTGATAAACTTAATGCCACAGAATTGTACATGAGAAAGTTGTTGAAATGGCAAATGTTTTACCACTGTATTTCCTATGATCAAATGTATGTAAAATTTGATTGTGGCAAAATTATACTTAAGAAAGAATATGCCATCTCAATAATTTCTACATGTACAATTCAATGATAGCCATTACAGTCTCCATGTTGTGCGACCAATCTCACTGTAATTCTCCAAATCATCCCACCAATAAAAACCATTCCTTTAAAGTCACTTGCAACAGTTTGAAAGCATTGTGTCAGGGGCAATTTCTTTCGTAGAAAGGTTCCAGGTTTGGTTCGGAATGCCAAAATACTACCAATGCCCCTTTAAGCCATGGGGTGAAATGAATTCCTTTATGTGACCTTTTGCCTTGCGTCTTTGAACTTTAGATCAGTAGTTTGATAAAATTCCCCCCCTGAAGAGTTATCTTTAGCCCCTTCCTCCCCCACCAGACCGTTAGAGTTCTTTTTCCAGGTTGATTGATATATCCTGGGTAAACTGTAAACAACCTGATTACATTCTATGTTACTATGCCGAATACCAACAGCATAGCATTCTCAAAACAGCACAACACAAAACAAAGCAGCACATTCATACACAAGTATCTATGTCGC